CTTCTCAAAGGCTAGGATTTGTTGACGTACACTAGGACTTTCCCAGAGGGGACAGAGAATACTTTGTTAACCAGACCCTTTTTTTTTTTTTGGTTGTTTTTAATCCTTACCCCAGGATATTTTTCCATTGAGTTTTAGACAGAGTGGAAGAGGAGGGCAGGGAGAGAGAGAAAGAGAGAGAAACATCTATGTGAGAGAATACATCAGTCAGTTGCCTCCTGCACAAAGCTGGGGTTTGAACCTGCAACCCAGGATGTAACCTAGACCAGGAATTGAACTCTCGACCCTTTGGTCCAAAGGCCAACGCTCTAACCACTGAGCCAAACTGGACAAGGGCTTAACCAAACCTGTTTTCTAATGGGATCTTTCTTTCTTGCAACAGCCCTCAGGACTAGGCCAGAGAGATGGTTTCCATACTATTTTGATGATATCTCCCTAATGTATAGTTATTTATCTATTTATAGATTATAAATTTTGAGAACTACTACCACTGGTTCAGTAGTTCTCAAAATATATTTCTAAGCCCATCATTAAAGCGGTGTGAAAAGAAAGTACTTAAAATAAAAGAAGCTTCTGTTTATGCCCTTGTTAGCTCATCCTTTTATGAAATGTGCACTTTCTACAGTCTTACGACACACACAGCAGGACAGGCTGACACCCTGTCGGGGCAGGCACACTGCTGTCCCTCTGCCTACCTTTTGAAGGGGCCTTGTTTTTCGAGGTAGCACTGGCGGGGTGATGTGATGAGGGACGCCAAGGGAGGACGCAGACCGACAGCCGTTGAATTCGTTTTCTTCCATTTCCTCAGAACCTTGGGCATTTTCCGAGGGGGGATTGTGTGCTGGTGGCTTGAAAAGATCGGGGCTGTTCCCCACCGGCTCAGGAAAAGGAACATCTAAGGACCCACACTGTTCCGGCCTGCATTGGACACAGGGCTCATAAGGGTCAGCCGGACAACAGCCCCAAGGGCCAGCCTGGCCCTTGTCAGGCTCCGAATTTCTCCAGCAATCTGCTGCCATGGCTGCAGAGATGAGGTCAGGGCTGGAGCCCGGCATCTGTCTTTGAGCATGGTTGCTGAGTGGGCTCCGCAGGGCCGCTGCTGGGCCAAAATACCTCAGGTTGTTGGCGCAGGTTGCAATGTCCTGTCCGTGCACATTGAGCCTGGGGTGGTGACTCTGCGGCGCGGCGGGAGGGGGCTGCTGGTACTGCTGCTGCAGAGAAGGGTACTGGGGTTGAGCTTGGTGTGGATGAGTGGGGTGGGGCGAGTTTTCCTGGGCTGGCTGGCTTTTCAAGATCGCTGCAAAGTCACTGTGGCTGCCTCTGCTGTTCCCTCGGCGGTGCCGTGGTTTGCTCCGATACCGGCTCTTGCTGCCTGAGGTGGACATTTTGGGGCTTCCAGACAAAGGCGATACAGTGGGAGCCACCTCCATACTGGGGATGCCTTCAGATCTCAACAGATCTGGCCTGGGAGAACAGAAAAGGCTTCGTTTTATTATTGATTTATTTTTAAAATAGGTTTAAAAAATTTTTTTTTGAAAGGAAGGAAGAGATAGAAACATCAATGAGAGAAACATCGATGGGGGCCCCCTTCATGCCCCTACTGAAGATGGAGCCTACAACCTGGGCATGTGTCCTGACTGGGGCTTAAACCAGGACCTCTCAGTCCCTGGGATGACACTCAATCCACTGAGCCACACCGGCCAGGCATAACAGGTTTCGTTTTAAACATATGAAAACACGTTCAAGTTTGGGGAACTGTGTCTCCAGCCTTAAAATGCACACTCTGTTGGAATTAGCAGTCACACACAGGGATTTACCCAAAGGAGATAATGGAGGTCCACAAAAATGGATGCTTGAAGACACTGTTAATGTATTGCTCTAAAGAACAGACATTTAGAAACAACCTAGATGTCCACTTGGAGAGGATTCCCTTTATGCCTTCTGGATTTCATTCTGTGCCTCACTGGCCAACATACTCAACCTCCTCTAAATTCTAATTCTACCCTACAGGTTTCAGGATCTCTTCCTCAGAGTACCAGCTATCAGCTTGGTGCCAATACGCCAACACATGGGCATGGGCACTGCCCATGGTCAGGAATCTGACTGATGATGGATCCAGATAGATTCTACAAGGAATCACAAAGGAGAGAGTTCTGGTACCAGAGAAGGAAACCTTGGGTTAATGAAGCAAGAGGCTAAATTCAGGTAGTTTGGTCTAGACAAGGTCTTCCTGAGGGCTGGGACTACGTCGTCGTATTCATCTCTGTATGCGGAGGACACTGACGGGAGTCTTAGTCCCAGTGGGGACTCAGTGTTTCAGGAAGGGGGAAACATGCGGGGCCAGAGGACAGGGAAGCAGTAGAGAGCCCAGGTGCTTGAGCAGAGCCAGCAAGGGAGGGCCCCTGAGGAGTGCCCCGGCATCGCACTGTGCTGCTGGAGTGAGAGGTCCTCTCTCAGCCCGTTTCCACGTGCCCGCTGGGCCAGTCACGCAGACCACACTCAGCAGGAAGCCAGCTGCTGAGTAAACCCGGGCACACTGACTCCGAGGCGCGTAGCTTAGCAATAACTGACTTCCGAACCGATGAAGCGATTCAGGGCAGAGATTCTAGGATACCAGGTAGTATTGCTACTTCTTCCCTGCCAGAGATAGCCTCACCTTGTTTGGGATCAGACATATACAAAATCAGCAGGCGCTTTCAGAGTTGGAGGGCCCCTCCAATTTTTTTTTAACAACAGAATCCTTTACTGAAATTAATTATTAGGAGAAGCCCAGTATAGGGAGCAGACATACTGGAAAGGTTGAAGGTGGGGAAGCAGAGGCCCCTCCCTGCAGGCTCCCCTTCCTCATGCTGTTCACCCCTGCAGTAGTCCCTGAGATGTCTCTCTATGCAGGCCCTAGGGTATCCCAGACCTTGCTTGGAAACACAGATACAGTCCTGCCCCCACCTGTGTGATGAGGAAGCTGGAGCCCAGACAAAGTGGCTCATGGTCTCAGCTTGTTACTGGTAGAATCCAGACCAGAAGTCTCTGCCAATGTCTTGTCTGGCTTATTAGATAGGGTACAGCTTGAAGGTGCATGCAGGTCACCTGGGAGTTCGTTAAAATGATTGAGTAGGTCTGGGGTGGGGTCTCAGAGTCTACATTTCTAACATGCTCTCAGATGATGCTGAACTGAGGACTACACTTTCAAGAGCGAGGGCTTACAGGAAACTGGCCGGCATCGGGCAGTAGGGGGGTTTTCTTCCCTTTCAGAAGAAGTACAGTGAAAGGCTTGTTGTAGCACAGAAGCTCCAGGAGTTTCTGGTTTATGATGAGGCTGGTAGGATATTGTGCTGCCCTCAGCAGTTTCCTGTCTCCGATTTACAGAAGGTAGCTGGATGGAGGAGGCCTGGGGCTCTTGTTGAGGCAAGAGAGCCCTCCAAGGCTCAGTTCAGGGCACCTGCGTACACAGAGGCAGGCTGCGGCGGGGTGTAAAAGAGCTGGGGGGGAAGTGTCCCAAGTCCGGCGAAGGCTGCAGCTGGCAGTGCGGACAGCGGACATCGCAGAGTAACGTTGGTGCGGCACTTCGCCGTTTACGAAGCACTTTTTAGTATATAAACCACTTGCTTCCTACTATTACAATATCCTTTGATAGAGAAAGACACTGAGGGATGAGAGAGGTTCACTGCCTTGTGTCCACCACAAAGCAAGTAAATGGCAGAACTCAAAAACTGACCCCAAGTCTTTTGACACCAAGGACTAGTTCTTTCCCCATTCTAACCTTCTCCTTATTGTAAGGTATTCAGACTCTCTTATTGGCCAATACACACTTGTGACAGGCTGGGTGCACCCCTACCTGAACTCTGACTCTCTTCTTTCTAGTCCTTAACCAAACACAAACTGAAACCTAGGCTAAAGGATGGCGGACGGTTTCTCCTCTCTGCTCTCCTCAGAGGTCACCGGACTTCTGATTTGATAATCATTGAACTGTCCAAATAATCTGAAACTTAACTCTGTTCAGGGGCAGTTAGCTGAAAGCATGGCTCTTCACAGCCCTGATCCCATCCATGTGGCTTCCTGGGCAAGTTCAGTTAGCTTGCAGGCCAGGCGCCTGCTGGTGGCATCCAGCTCCTCCAGACGTATTTCTCAGAGCACAAGTTCAAGTAAACATGAGCTCATATTTTGAAAAAAAAAAAAAGGTACTATTTTCTCCCCCAGTGCTCTTAGTTTTACTACAGGCAGATTGCAGGGAGCAGCCAGCAGGCAAACTCGGTCCCTAACTAACGAATTAATACACCCAAAGAAAGAGGGGTTTCCAGGAGGGTCTTGTCAGGTGCTCTCCGCAAACAATTTCTCAGAACTTGACCAGGTGACAGTAAGGAGTGGTAAGTAAAAGCAAAACTGGAATTAATCTATGGAATTGCTCACTAGTAGTTTAGATTCACATTAGTCATGGTCTCTGGTCACCATTCTGAAAGCCTTATAATAGATTCTTGGTTTGCATTTTCCCATTACCTCTATTCTTACCGCATTTAGCTCAAGTCTCACTGTTGGGCTCATGCCCCAGGTTGAGGGACATTTCTTTCCTTTACATTAATTCAGCTAGGACAGAGTCAACTCTCCATTGCCTGGGAGGAATAGGGCTCTAGCAGAAGTTGGTAATAAAAATGGACTGGAAGAGCATTTTAAGGTTTAACTAATACAGTATTTTAGAACTGTGGCTGGGAATCTGAGTTGTAGTGGGCTGAATTAGGTTATGTGTGGATTTTCTACTGAGCAGGTGGTCGGCACCCCGAATCTCCACATTGTTCAAGAGTCAACAGTATAAGGAAAATGTGTTATAATTAGGAAAAAGGGCAATCTTTAAACACTATGTAAAAATCCACTTTTTGAGCACCTGTGATTTATTAGGTGATTTCACATATTGTGTTATTTAAACTTCATGGAAGCTCCATGCAGGAGTGGAATGAGGGGAACCATGTGGGTAGACAGAGGTAATTATCTAAGTCCCTGCTACGAGCGGGGTTCAGCAGCCCACACACTACAATGGGAACGATACAGAGAAGATCAGCATGTCCCCGTGCAAGGATGACATGCAAATCTGAGAAGTAGAAAAAAACAATAAAAACCAAAGTCCCTGCTTTCATTTTTGGTGGTGGATTTACAGGCACTTATTACATTATTAAAAAGAACTAACTAAACGAATAAATAAAAATGGGCCACACGTGGGCCAATGTTGCATAAATCAAGAATTATAATTAACCCAATTCTGTGCATTAGGGGTCAAAGAAAGAAAAAAATATCTCATGTGCCATAGTTATATCACTTTCCCTGTGGGGTTGAAAGAGGGCAGTCAACATGGCCCAAATCACACAGCTCATAACTGGCAGAGCCAGGATTTAAACCCAGGTCTGTCTGACCCCCAGTTTATTTGTCTTTTCACTGTTGCATGCTAAGATAATAAACATCTATGCCTCAGATAGGAAATCATGGATTCCTAGGGTCCATGGCTCACTTTCTCACCTTCCAGCTCTATTTAACCTAGAGGCACGTGTGCTAATGCTGAGGCAGAGTGGCCACGCTCACCACAGTCTGATACTGTATGGAAGGGGGCTACTTCCCCATTTCTCTGACTAGCAGGTCAGCACAAGGGTCTCACCGTTTGGTCTGCATCCCAGGTTTGTGAGGCACGCCTTTCCTTTTCATGAGCTTCTCCATGGCGTTGGGGTGGATTATGGGACGGACAGGGTGCCGTTTGTAGGTCCCAGGATACTTCTTTTCCACTGCTTGCTCACGCCTGCAGAAAGAAGGGGCCCACCTCAGTCACTGCTGACAGAAAGGCTGGGCAGAGTGTTTCACAGGCTAATTCCACCCACCGATCTGGCCACACTTCCTAGACACGGGCTATTTGAATAACAAGGTTGCTATTCAAGTAAAAAAGAAAAAAAGGAGCCTCCAACGCTGTGGCTTTGTGGATTGAGTGTCCTCCCAGGGACTAAGAGATCCCCAGTTTGATTCTAGGTCAGGGCACATGCCCGGGTTTGGGGCTCAATCCTCTTTCCCTTCCTTTCTCTCTGAAAAAAATCAGTCACTAGAAACATTTTTTTTTTAAAGGGGGGGATATTAAATTCAAACTAACTTGATTTCATTTTTTTCCTTCAGCTCACAGATGAACTCAGAGACTGACCTTCCCTTCCCCAATATTCTACATGAGAGACATAGTGCAGTGGTAGAAGTCCTACTTATTTTGGTAGCTGCTGTGTTGGTCCAGACCCCAGGATTTTCTTGCCTTTCTCGGGAATACCCTAAATCACATGTAGAAGCCACCTCACTTCCCCAGGGGGCATTAAGCCCCGGTCAACATCGAGCTTTTCATGAAATGAGGACCCTTCTCTGAGCCATTCAGCAGGGTGAAGTTGCAAATATCTTTCCAGTGCATGTTCCCCTTGAACCAGCTCTGCAGCAACTCACTCAACCACAATCCTCCCCAGGGGCAGAGACCTATGCACAGCACATCCCCGAAGGAGTGTTGGGGGAATGAATAAAATATCTGCCAGGTCTGAGTAGCCGCAACGTGGAAAATTAGTGCATTTCTGCTGATGGACAGACTTAATCAATAAGGGCAGACGGTGGTCTGGATACGTACTTAATGAGCTCCTTCTCCCGCATTTCCAGCTGCAGCATGATAGCACTTAGTTCCATGTATAAATTATTAGCCCGCTCAAGTTTTCTCTCATAGTGTTCACGAATATCCAAAGCATGCCTATCAAAGAAAACACAGGATCAGTGAAATCGACTCACTTGGGGGAGAACAAAAGTCAGCTCTAATGAACTAACAACCAGGATGGTTTATCTCAAAAGCATTTGCCCAAGGGCCTTCTAAATTTAAGTCTCCTTTGTCTGATGCAATGATTCAGCCAAGGTGGAGTGGGAGATGGAAAAGCTAAGCTTTCCATTTGGTTTACCCTTAGGGGCTATCCAGCCATGCAGAACAGCCAGAAGGGCCACAGATAAAATGTGAATATGATTTGTGCATAATTTGTACCCTTTGTGTAGTGTTGACAACATTTTAATAAGAATACAGTATAACTCACTGTTAATGGAAATATGCAGTTAGAGCTGACACCATGAAAACTCATTTAGACTTATCCGTGGCACAGATCCTGCCTAATTATAGTGGTTCTCTATGAACATGTCTTGTGTCCCTTAAAAGATTATAAACACCTTGAGACCAGGGACTACATCTTGTACATTTCTGGCCTTCTATGTCACCTAGGACAGGGGCCGAATGAACGAACAGCACTGCTCCAGGAATCTCTGTTGCAGAGATTTAATAAAAGAGGACAAGAGTTAGGGTGCAGAGGATAAAACAGTGATATAAAGGAGGGCTAGCTTTTAAGGCAAATTTTAAAGAGAACAGCAATAAATAGCACAGTGAAAGATGTGTAGGAAGTGAAATGGTGATTCAGAAAGAGTTCCTGCTGCTGTCTGGAGACCTGAGGATGCGAAGCGGTGGAGAGGAGCTGACCTGAGCTCTTCTCTGCGCCTTCGAATCAGTTCTTCATCTAAGCGGTGTATACAGGTTCCTTCACTTTTGATCTTCTCAAAGTGTTTTTTCACTTCTTCTCTCCATTCCGCCTGGGTGAGGAGAAGTCAGACTTTGTTAATATTCTAGGAGTTCAATCCTGCTACAACGACAGGATCGTGTATAAGATTCTCCCCTCCCCCCCCCCAGCATGCTTCTTCTCCTGAAGAACTTTACAGAATAGATGTTCAATTAATATTAGTCGATAAACTATCTCATGAAAATGTGTGTGCACACCATACCCCACTCCATTTTCTGTATACAGTCCAACATGCGATGTATCTCTTTTCCAGTTTCCTTGCAGCATAGGCCACCAGAAACAGCACACTAGAACACTAGCCATCGCCTCTGCCAGTCAAGGTGGTGGCTGGGAAAGCCTGGCCAGAAAGAATAGCTCTGATAACCATATGGTCAGTGAGAAGATGACTGTCTCTGCAGGTGCCACCAGTATGCCTCTTGGGTTCTGTATATGAAAATATCTTGAAAACATTTGGAGTAGAAGACCCAAAGGGGCATGAATAGCAGGTGATGAAAATAAAAATACAGAGAATTATACAGGAATTTGGGGCTGAAGGAATGGGCAGAAAAAGAGAAGAAGGAAGAGGAAGAAAACTAGTATAGCTAAACAACTTAGTAGGCTGACAAAATTTTTAGGACAGAAATGGATGTCTAGGATGTGATTTAAGTTGTTCAAAATGTAAGCCACTTTTAATTTCCTAAACCTTTAGGAAAGTCTCCTGACATTCGCTCTGACTTTGGATGAGTGTTTTTGTTTTTCTTAGAAATCAAGGAAAGGTGCTGAACTTCACGTTTCAGTCAAAGTTAAAGGAACAACCACAATGGCAGGGACTGGGGCCAAGAAGTTTAGGAAGGTTAGCCAGTGGCCATGAAATTATAAATCTCCAGGAATTTACAGGAATGTTTGAACATTGGACTTTTCACAGGGCATGAAATTTCAAGCCAATTTTATGTAAATTTTAGGGGGCAGGAAAACTTCTGCTGGAATATAGTCAAATAGGCAGTTTCTAGAAAAGCAGCTAAAGGATGTTTCTGTAAATTATATATAGACTATCATACCAGGAAGCTAATGCAATTAAGATAATTTCCAGCAAAGGCTAAATGTTTCTAATTGTATAATCTTCCTCTAGAGCTATTCTATTACCTTTAGATTCATGTTAAAAATGACCTCTCTAGCCCTGGCCGGTTTGGCTCAGCAGTTGGAGCGTTAGCCTGCGGACCAGAGAGTCCTGGGTTTGGTTCCCGCTAGGGGCACATATCCAAAAAAAAAAAAAAAAAAAAAAATGACCTCTCTAGATCATGGAGAAGTTACACCTAAGAACTGTAAAATTACAAACGGTTTCTCCTCAAATTTGCCATTTCTTATTTATTTTATAGAGGGAATTATAACTAGTTAGAAAGTGATTATCCTTCTTATCCATTTATAATATGCTAGATCTTCATATATCTGTTGACTGACTATTGGAGAAAGGTTTCTGCCAGTCAGCTGACTTTCGGGCACCAAACCTGCCAAACAACGCCATCAGAAAGCCAAGATCCAGAATGCGCTGTCCACTGTTTGGTAACAGTCTTTGACAGTAAATGTTGGTTTGGTTGAGCCCCAGGTAATGCTGTTCTTTCAATCATCAGATCAAAGTCATGAAGTAGGACGAGTATTGAGCTTTAAGAGGCCGAAGACTGACAATCAAGAGTTGTTAGAACAAAAAAGAGTAAGGGGAAGGTCAAATATGGGCCTTGAAGCATCCTCTTTTGTGCAAAACCCTGCCAGTGGATTTCAGTACAATACGTAAAGGAAGGGGAAAAGGGATGCCGCTCTCTGGCGGTGAGGAGTCAGATACCGCAGATCTTTTTTTTTAATTTTTTTATTCTAAAGAAAATAAACCTCTTGATATTTTGCTTATAGATTTATGGGTTAGAATTCAAAGGGAATCTTCTGAAGATTGAAACCTATTAAGAAAGTGAATTTCCAAAAAGAAATTCCCTCCCGTGAAGAGGGAACAGGATGCGGGGAAACAGCAGCTACTGACTGATTCATAATGTTTCCCCCAAAGGTATCATGTGACAGGTAGATGTTAATTTTGGAGTTCCATCGTATATATTTAGAATCTTTATGTAATAGGAGTTCCAACTGTCACTTACTCTGCAATTCAGACATGTATGGGCATATCTGAAGCCCATGTGCACAGACTGAGGAGCCTCTGAGAGAAAACAGTCGTGCAGGAGGGAGGAGTCCTGAATGAACTTGACCTATAACAAAGCCGCCATCATGGGAGAGGAGGGGCATTTTCCACTGTCACTAAAATACTTGTAAAACGTTGCCATAACCAGCACTGCTCTGTTACTTAAAAAAAAAAGTAACTCAACAGGGAGAGAAAGAGTTCTCTGTGTAAACAGAACAAAATGCAGCTTTAGAATCTTGTGAAGTCCAGAGCTTCCGTTACAGCAGGAAATGACAGCTCCCAGTGCCTTAAGGATAAGGCAGCACCCAATGGGTGCCAGCTGGGGACTACAGTCTTTTAG